CACAGAGCCTGCTGCCTGCGAGCAATTATTTTTCCGATTTCGCAGCCCTTTTACGAGGTGATATAAACTGCATTATTTTCCCGCGTTCCTAGTACTTTTACTTTGTAATTGCTGTCCATGAGTAGTGATTACCAGACGTATCCACTTGACATTAACTTCCGGTAATTTGGCGTTCGGGAAATCGTTCTGCCTGAACGTTCCACTTAGTCGGTGCTTATCGCTATTTTGATCTCCTTCCTCGTTCATGTGCTCTCTCTAACTGGAAAACGTTTCAAGCGTTCCGTGTGTAATTTCGTAGAGTTTATTTTTATTTTTATAGTTGCACCATTTTATAGAATAAACAGTGGTTCCGTTTGGGAACCACCCTAAAAATGTCAGCTTGGAAAACGTTTCAAGCGCTCCATGTGTAATTTCGCAGAATTTTTTACTTTAATAGCTGCATCATTTTATAGAATAAACAGTGGTTCCGTTTCGAAACCAGCCTGAAAATTTCAGTTCTGGATACTGGAACAGGTGGTGCTTATGAGATTCCTCCGAATAGGATACATTGGATTTTCCACCTTAAGTAGTACACCCTCAACTGACAGTCGAACGGGATTTCCGATTTTTAGGGTCAGCCTTCTATCACGTACATTCGATGGGGAGTGTACAACGTTTTATCAGTTTATTTGCTCTATCCGTTAAAAGAGCTAACCCAAAAGGCTAACAAGAGGACGTTTTCATTATAGTATTATTGGTGTGAGGATAGAGACACCGGATTTAACTTCCATTAGCCTTATTTTTCTGCTCAGAAATGGTCAGTTTTAATCCACACAACGACTTTTCAGGCTGACACTTTGTCGTATTGTGTTTGTCTGACTGCCAATGATGTTTTGTATAAACTACCTCGGGTGCACTAGCAGATAACAAACCCTTAAAGTTCCATTTCGTTTTTCCCCTTAAGAAACTTATGAATCACTGGCGATTTTATTATAGACGAAGTTCGTCGATCCATAAGTAGGCAGATA